GTGTATAAAAACTTGATTGTATGCACTGTTGCTGTGTAATCAATGTACATTACAGAGAGTACATATTTTCTGCTTAAAGCTTTGATTTAAAGAAATTATTTCGTTGTTAACGACATATAGTGTAGTTAAAAGACGCTATTTTGCCCTACTATTTATACTAAAAGTTATAAAGTTTCGATCTCCTTTACCTCTACAATAACCAGAATAGACAAAGGGTGGATTCATTTGCAACATACGCGTGTAGCTGTCCCATTTGTCCACTGAAATTTGTTATCGTTTTTAAAGTTAAAAACAATAAAAAATTCCAGCGGGCAAATGCGACAAAAAAAAAATTATATTTACGCGTATGTTGCAATGAATCCACCCAAAGCTTTTCGAGATGCACATACATCAAAGTTTCTCCTAGGCTTCAAATTTCTCGGTGCATTTTCATGGTTAAATTGCTAATGCAGGATACATAACCATGCATAGAGGCTCGATGATCATTCTTTTTAATTTCGTGCATCGTGTATGCCTTTGTCCTCGAGGCACCATTTGAGCACGATTATCATTTAGGTGCGTTAGAGAGAGAGATACGGTAACACCTTTAGATCAAAACGAACTCGTAAATTCAACTCGTGAAGTCGAAAATGCTTCGATTCGTTAACACAAAACCGGCTTTGTTGCAAGATCCCAGTTTCTTTTAATTCATTCTTTCACTTTTCAAGACCATGGTTTTTTCCTCAGATATATCGAGGATTGTTTGGAATTTGAAGGTGCTGCAATAAATCACATAAACCCTCGATTCAGGCCGATAACCCTTACGTAAATGAAAGTTTGACACATTAATTATTGTACACATCATCAAATTTGTGCGATGCATTTTTTCACTGATTCTATCGAGCCGCTCTTGAGATATATGGAAAAGAGTTAAAAATCAAGATTTTGCATAAAATTGCTTTTTGGATTGGTAAAAAAAGTTAGTTTCCAAGATCGCAAAAAACGAAAATTCACCGAAATTTCCAAGCATGGAAATATCATAATTTACAGATTTAGCCAAGGATAAAAGCAAAGCGTTATTATTTTCACGGCCAATTGTGTGAGCCGTTCAGTGAGGTGCTACTTGATCCCATTAACATGTTTTTAATTACTGAAAACCAAAAAATTACAACTAATAAGCTTCAACCTCTGCAAATCCAGAAATTTATACTTGACTGATTTTAAAACAACAACTACAACAAAAAAACAAAAGCAAAAAGAGAAAATTATAAATCAAATTCGATCAGAGTGATAGTCTTGGAAAAGATTTCTTACCCATACGTGTGTATCACTGCCCCCTCACCCCAACACCCCCTCCACTACACCCCTTTGAGAAGCTAATGACACTCAGCCCATGAAATTAAATCTTTTATAGACTGGTTGTCATTCATTCCATTCACGGAATGGAACTCTTTGGGTCAACCTGACCCATATGATAAATTAGGCGGATTTTGGTGTTTAGAATGTGTTTCCTTTGCAAAATCGGACCGACAAACCGTTCCGTGTAAACTACCTTTTAGATTACACATCATATTAGTATATACACTCTCAGCGATCTTGGTGATTTAAGCAATCTGATTGGTTCGCTATCTCGGACTATTGAACAATGAACTCCATGTTTCTTCTGGCGAAAAGAGTCAGGAAGGTTGATAACTTATCTAACATTTCATTTCCCCCTATGAATAACAATAATTTTGTAGTCTTGACAAACTGCCTCTTGCGTGTCACTGTCAACAACAACAGTCCTATTCAGGACTACGTTCACCCGGACGATCAAAGTCAACCTACTTTTGAAATTTCTAGATGTTGCATAAGTTTTCACTCATAAATTCACCTGACAAAATTTTGACCAAGTGGAGGTGGGTGGGGTGGGGGGGAGGGAGGAGAGACTAGGTCATACCGGGAGAGTGACCAAAAGCGTGACCAGGCTAAAAGCAAAGCTTTAGAAATTTATTTCCGAACATTTTGTCGTAAGTCAAACACAAAGAAACTTCAATCTACAGTTTTACTCGAGCAACTGCGTTGATTGGCCCTAAAATGGCTAATTTTGCGCCAAAACGAAACGCAACGCTCATATCTGGGACTACCTATCCTACCCTACTGAGGTTTTTACCCCTACTCCCAGAGTCTATACGGGCGGACGCGGTACGCGCACGCTGACGTCATAAGCAAATTTTCTGGGATGAATATAGGTTACCAAATTATCTTAGCAATGGGACTCCGCTCGTGTCCAGATTCCTCGAGGAATACCTAAATCACCCTTAGCTGGAGGCGGGGTGATAACCTCTTGCAATTTGTCAGGTAATGGTTCTACTTGCATGGGCAGGAGCATTTCATGAATTACATGGTCGATTGGATCTGTGTAGTCTTCAGTCTTCAAATGAATCGATTTTTTGCATGCAGAATGTAAATTTGGACTTGTAACCCTTTGTATAAGCAATGTAAGCTGGCTGTGTGTTGCTTTTGTCGATTTCTGAGAGTTGCAGAAGTTCTTCTTTCCGTTTAGAATTTTTTTCGCTGCAATACTGATCTTTGTAGTTCTCTTACCCAATGAGGACACCAAAGATGGCGTTTACCTCCCGTTGATATATTCACTTCGTCTCTAAAAACTTGTTCATCTTCAGACGCCAGCTCCTGGTACTTTAATTACCATTAACCAGATTTTTGCTCTGTTGACATGACAGCCATACTTTTACCTTCTTTGCAGAGATGATTGTACCAATCATACAGCGCTTTACAGTGTGATTGTTCAGGCTTCAGCAGTGGCGTCTGCTAACCGAACCTGTTTCACAGTTGGTAACCACATTCATAAGCTGTTGATCAACAAGGATTTGGTAACTGAGTACCGCGGCATCACCAACGGATCGCCTTTCGTAGTACCTTCTTGAGACAAATCTCTCCGCCTCCCTGTATGAAGAGTCTCGAAGGGCTATTATAGGTATTAATCAAAAACAGCAAAATTTCTTTTTCTATAAAGACGTCGCTCATAGCGAAGTAATATCAACAACAACAACAAATAATAATAATGACAACTATGCTGCGTTCTTTACCTCGATTTGAGAATTTACAGAATATTTAAACAGGCGGACAGGGATCAGCTTGGCGCTTCTAAAAAAATAAAAAATAAAAAACAGTCATCTATAAGACCTCACGTTACGATTTCCAATCAGTTTAATCTCACCAAAAACCTTCGTAAATCTATCGAAATTTTACTTAACTGAAGTTCTTGTTTTATGATATGCTAGAGGAGATGAAATTCGAAGTGATTACAGTATAAATATGAATACCAGGTTTGTGGAACCTTTTAGTTCATTGCATTTACTACATTCTTTTGATTGTAATTGATTTAACCCTATTCAGACTGGGCTTTTTTGGTCAATCTGTGACTGGGGGGGGGGGGGCCCCTCGGCCCCCCCCTCTGTTTCTCTGGAACCAATAATGCTAGGGTCATGAAATTTACACACAATGATCATCTCCGTACAAAGAAGCCCCACACCCAGTTTTGACTTGTCACGCCCAATGATGACGTCACAGTGACGTCATATTCCGATTTTTCAATGTTTCTTATTATTTTTCGACTTAGATACGTAAAATATCAATAATATTGGTAAAGTCATCTCTTTGTTATCCTTTCTTATGAACTAGTAACAAGGAAACACTTGTACAGCGAGAAAAAGCAATAGGAAGCAATAAAATTTAAAATTTGCAATGGTTGTCCGCCATCTTGGATCCACCATCTTGGATCCGCCATCTTGGATTTCCTTTTTTTTGTTAAAATTATAATTTAAAGCAACTTTCAAAGAAGAAAAAGCTCAGAATGTATAAAAGAAGTATCAAACTAATGTTTATTACCCAAACAAATGACTTTGGAAGTGTTATTTGGAAAATAGAGCAGCATATTTGTCAAAGCAAAAAAGTGACAAATTTTACCCCACCCCTCCCCCCCAAATATTCGATGTTGAAACATTTTGATGTAATTCAAAAACTAGTCCCAAGCAAAGACCATTTTAACAACAAAAAGCACTATAAGTGTAAAAACGCGATCTTAAACCAAAAAAATCACCATTTTTTAAATTTTCCAAAACCTATCTGTCAGTAATTGGTTGCCATGGCAACATGATTGATCACATGGACATGGTAATTATACCAAAATGTTCCTAGATAAATTTTAGGAAAAGTCAGAAAATTTGAAGGTCATAGCTCTTTCGGTGTAGGAGTTATCACGATTTTGCCGAAGGGGGGGTTCGAAAAGCCCCCCCCCCCCAGTCTGAATAGGGTTAAGGTTATGTTTAGTAGGGAAAAAAGAAAACAAACAAAAAAACTCAAAGTATCCCTTGCTATTCGTGAAATCGTTAATGTTCTCCTTCTCTCTTTCCCAAAGATGTTTTTGCTGACTCCAGCCAGACGAACTAACGAGACATTTTACAAATTAAAACATCATACATAGAAGATTTACCTTGCGATTTCTAGGGTAGAAAATGGCCATTTCGAGACTCCAGATTCAAGTGAAAATTAGAGCTCTTTCAGTCCAGGACTGGGCTTGCATTTAAGGCTATAATTCGAATACAATTTCTTTATTATAAAGCACACTCTTTACAGCGACTCAAAATTTTCCAAATGTCATTTCCCAGGACACTTAAGCCAACTGAGCACTTTTAACAAAAACTAAGTAAATCTAAATGGAAAAGCTGTCACGTTACGTACGTATTAATCATCTGTAGAAATAAAGGATCGAAGGACAAAAAGAGATTATTGACGAGCTATTTCTATTGACAGTAATTGAAATTGGTTGTACCTGGACTAAAAATTGTCGTTAGAGGAACACGTTTCATTTCATTACGACTTTTAACTCCATTTGATTCGCTTATAGCAACTCTCTGCTCAGTGATTAAAAAGGAAAAGAGTTATGGTTTTCACAAAATAAATATATACCTTACTTTAACCAGAAGCCTTGACAAAAGTCTCTGTTCAGTGAATTTCAATTTATTTTGTAGTTTGTAGTTTTTCGTCGAAAACCTTTTCGTATGATGTGGTAAATAAACTTGCCACCAGTCGACTGCGTGAGCGTCGAAGGGGAATATAATCTGTTATATAGTATTAAGGCAAAAAAGAGCCTAATTTTGAAAACTAGTTTTAATAACATTTGAATCTGGTTTTAAACTGCGTATTTCAACTGGAGAACGTCAGTATTCCGGTGCTCTTAACCAGGTGTCATTGATTCGAATTATCATTATCATAACAGAAAAATACCTTCTTAATCTTAATCACTTAACGTTCTTCAAAGGGTCAAAACTTAAATTGACAACAACAGAATGGATAATTTGGTTTAAATTTGAATTTTCGCCGCATATCATAACCACAAAGAAACGTGTTTCGAATAGTAGTCTTTCGTACGGCGTGGCTGCCTAAAAATGATGACGCCTACTATATAGTTTACACATGAAGAATTATTTTATTATTTATAAGTTAGTGAAATATATTATTATTATCAGTGACCTCAGTTAAAATATATCCTCACGTGCTTCAAGAATTTTTCCATCTAAAACCCTTGCAGGTGCATATTCTTTTAATACACCTATCAATGTCATGCCGGTGGGGGAAGGCAGGGCATGGGGTGGGGATTTGATTGTCTTTGTTGGCCCTGGTGTAGGGCATTTGACTGATCTTGTTCTCCCAGGGGAGGGGATATTTGAATCTTTCTTCGCCCGACGTGGAGATATTTGACTGCCGACTCGGGCGAAAAAGACTGAGACCGAACATATGTTTCCCGCTTCCACGCTTCACGCATGCGCCATACGGTCTGGAAAGATCTGGAAATCATGGAGGCCAAAGGACACAAGCGAAAACTGAGTGAATTTCACTGTTTTCTATTCAAATTTTGTTTGTTTTAGCTTGTTTTGATCAATTGAACCTCTTAAGATATTGTGGTATCAAAGTAAATGGAAGTAAAGAGAAACAAAGTCGATTGTTGCAAGTACAATTGATCAGTGTGTATGGCTCATTCGCTACAATCACTGTATAAAGCTTGTAAAACTGACTTTCTCTGTACCCTTAATATACTAAGAATAGTATATTTAAACTTACCAAATGTGGACTTTCTCCTGAGAGGTTTCTGTATTCTACGCAGTGTAACACGGATTATGGTTAAAACGTATAATTGCAGACATGTATCTTTGGTGATGCATCAACGTTTATAAATAAAGATTGCAGAGTTTTATTTGGAGATGTTTTCATTGTGCCTTTCTTGGGTTCTGCCTTAGGATATTTGGTAGCAATGTGCAGCCTGGGGTGGGGAAATTTGGATGCATTTGACTGGAATGATTTGCCACTGGGCAGGGAATTTGACGGCAAGTTTTTAAAATGTTAAATCCCCACCCCATGCCCTGCATCCCCCCCTCCCCGCTGGCTTTACATTGATAGGTGCGTAATGCGGTAACTCAAGAAAAAGCATTGTTTTCGAGCGAAGACGAGATACGGAATCCACGAGCCGTGTGCGTGTTTGTGAGTCCCGTGCTAATTACCTCTTCAACCAATCGTCCGGTGGATATTAATTTGCATCAAAGGCGATAGCTGTCTCATTTGCTCGCCTGAAATTTTTATTGCCGCCGCAAAGAAAAAACAACGCGGTAAAATTTATTGTGTTGTGCGGAGCTGGCGTTTAAAGGAGTCGCCTCGGCGGTAAATGGTCTTCGAGGCGCGGGTTTTCCCCGTTCATTGACCCGACGGTTATGCCATGATAATGAGCCCCAAAAAGAAACAGTTGTCCATGGCAGCCACTGCCCTCGTGATATGGCTGTGCGCATGCGTGAGGTACTGGCAAGGCCGTGGTTTGGTGTATGTGTGCCCCTTGCTTTAAGTTTGCACTATTTTCACGGTAATTTTCGCTTATGCGATCGAATTTATTTCAATTTATTTTTCAATTAATTTTAGGTTACTGTAATTCATTACAATTTCGAAACAAATTGAACAGCGCGCGCGTATAGGTAAAATCATTGCTCGTTGGCACTTAACGATGGCTATAAGTAGTAATAATGAATTATTATTATCCAAGCCCCAAGGGCTGGGTTAATCCTGTGAAGTATTCGGAGGAACGTAATTCTGACATATGAGACTTGTCGTCGAGTTGTCTAAAGATAATTGAAAAGCAGTCCTTAACTTCTCCCATGAGGAACACCAAATTCCCCCTTTCCGTTCAAACTGTAGTTACGATGTTAGGTACTTCAAAAATAATCTTCCAACATTTTGTAGAGAACTTCTTGTTTCTTTGACTTGAAAAATGGAACATATAGACAAAATTATTATGGAATAGTAGTTTATTATGGCGAAGATAATTCAATAGTTGCAAATTATTGCGAGACTTACTAGAATCAACTGATCACATGGGCCAATCGATCAGTGCAAGTTAGTAATGAATAATTATCAGGGGATTTCAAACCAGTCAGAAAAGGAGAAATAAAACGGAAACATTTTTATAAAGCATTTCACATTTGCTGCATGGATGGAGTAGACGGACGTAGATTGACGGCATACTCGAAATTTCTCCGGCAGTTTTTGTTACGAATTTAATAGATCAGATATCAAAGTTATTCCCATTTTGGTAAAAAAGGAAAAAAATCAGAGGAAAAAGTCATCTTAAAGGACCTCATCCTACGATTTCCAATCAGTTTGATTTCATTACAAAAACCTTCGTAAAACCAGCGAAATTTTAGTTAACTGAAGTTTTTAGCTGATGATAGTTTATAAGAAGTGGGAATGGAAGTGATTACAGCTGTCTGCATAAGTATCAACGTCATGCCTGTGGAACCTTTTAATTTCTTGCATTTACTACTTTTTGATTGCAATTGATTTATGATTCTGTTTAGTTGATGAAAAAACAAACAAACCAACCAACCCAGTAACTAACTAAAAAACTCTAAAAAAACCGCTGGCCATTCGCGATATTCTTAATGTGCTCGCTCCAGGGTGATTGCCCAACAATGTTTTTGTGACACCAGTTGGAACAACTAGTGAGACATTGAAAAAAATCACCACCATACATAGAACAAGATTTACCTTGAGAGTCTAGGGTGAAAGTTGCCTATATGGAGACACCAGACAACGGAAGGCTCCTTCAGCCCAACTACAGGAGACCTTGGTTTAGTTTTAAGCCTAAGTTATGTAACTATACTCTTATATTCAAACCACCCCTCTTCCCAGCTGTGACTCAATTTTTTTTCCAAATGTCATTTCCCAGCACACTTAAGCCAACTGACCAACTTGAACAAAAGCAAATTAATCTAAATGGAAAAGCTGTCACACTACTATTTATCTATCAGTAGAAAGAAAGGATCTAAACAACAAAAAGAGATTATTGACGAACTCGCTATTCTATTGAGCGTCATTATTGGCGCGCCTTCGAAGAAAAGTAATTGGATTTACCTTTACTAGAAATTGTTACAAGTTAGAAGAACGCGTTTCATTTCTCATGACGATTAAACTTCAGCTGATTAACTAAATTGCAAATCCCTGCTAAGTGATTAAAAGGGTAAAGAATCATGGCGCAAAAAAGAGATTTGAGTCTTGAGAATAAAGTTTTACCAAATAGTTACAATTGGTTTCACCTAAAGCCTTGACAAAATAGAGTCTGTTTTGGTAAACTTCAGTATATTCCCATCCTAACTAGCTATACCTTCAAGCTATACTGGTAGTTTTTTTCTCTAAAAATCTTTTCGTATGATGTGTTAAATAACAAAGAATAATCTGTTAGTATTTAGGCGAAAAAGTCTAATTTTGAAAATCAGTTTTAATAGCATTCGAATCTGGTTTTAGACTGCGCATTTAAATTGGAGGCGGTCAATATCACGGTTCTTGGCCAGGTGTCACTGTGATTCGAATTATCATTATGGATCATTACAGAAAAATACATTTCTGGGTTCCTCAAAGTGACAAAAAGTAAACTGAAAACAGAAGAATGGAAAATTTGGTGTAAATTTGCATGAGAGGTTGAGAGGTTTGTATCCTAACAAAAGACAACACCTAAGTAATCCCGATTAACTTTTCATTAAAAGCTGTAGTTTTCGGGATGAATTTCTTAACCCGACCATGTTCCTTACTTAGGTCGATTCTTTTGAGCACAGTTGGAGCCAAAACCTTGGTCTGGCTGAACAAAGGATTACAAAGTACAAAAACAGTAACCAAAAGATTTGTACGCCTCTTATATCATTAAACTGATCTAGACAAACCACATCATGGTAGTGGTCTCTATATTTTTTTGTTTAACAAAACAGCTGTCTCAAACTAGAGTAGCCTGTGTACAGACGTCCCCACTCCCTCAGAAAAAATCAGAAGAGGAGACGACGTCTCCTCTCCCGAGGAAGAACAAGTACAAGTATATACCTATATCTTGCTAGAAATAGAAGAAAAAAAATAGCTGAATTTCACTTCTTGATAACTGAGAGGTGATCTTAACGACCAGTTCCTGCATCACTTTGCCTACCTGCAGCATATTTGAGGCTAGTGCATTAGTTCAGAATCAGTGTGTATCCACCTTACATTGGGTTTTTGAAGAAGCTCAATCACGCCTTTGTGGACAGTGAGCCCAGTTAAACGTCCGGTTTGCTGTAACGTATGATTCAAGGCTTCCTGTAACCCTTTATACGGGAAGAGATTTGCCATTTAATCTTCATTACGGTTCCGTAGATTTACAGAAAGAGGCAATTTCGCACCCGTTTCCTGCGTTGCAACCACCACCCACGTATCGTGTATGGTATTGAAATAAACGCTATAAACAGAAGGTTCAGAGTGTCTGCGACGTAGCCTAGCACCCCGGGGGATCTTCATTTTTGACCCAAAACAGATAACTTCGTGCAAATAATAGATGAATCTCACAATGCCTGTCTTATAACTAAAAGTTTAATAGCAACTTAAAAAACATACATTCAAATAAACAATTAAATTTTAAGAATTTTTCACATTAAATTGCGTTTTCAAACCCGGTCGGCGG